GCCAAAGCTTTTCCGGGGAGGGGGAATTGTCTACTGTATTGAAGCTTTGAAGAAAATTGCGAGAACGGTAATGAGCGCTCCTACCGATACTTTTACTTCTAAATGTCATTATAAGTAGGATGCAAAACCTTGATGAAACGATGCGCAAATAATGTATTTGCTTCAGGTAAAAAATCAGAAGGGCTCAAAATTAAAATATAATATATTGATTATTAAAGCACGGTGCTGTCATTGAAGACCCTAGTCGTTGTCTTGATGCTGCAGCGAGCAGAACGCAAACAGCGGGTCTTCTGGTATGCAATCCTATTTCATAAAACCTTCGGGCACCTGAAGACCGTGAAACTCGGGTTTCACTGGCAGGATACAGCTTACATGAGAGTTGTATAGCTACAGCAGTCCTGTGTCGCTCTGAAAATGCCAGATAACGATCCTCATTCGTCGTTATTGATCTTGGTTGACCTTGTCCAGTTCGTTATGGGTCCAGTGTCTTGAGACTGTTTCCATAAATTGCAGACAACACTGGGCGTTACACTAAGCTCTGTAGCCACCATCAGGGCTTGTGATCGGCCGGCTTCCAATCTACCGGCTATTCTCCAACTCATTCCGTTATTCATAGGTTTGTGACTATTCATTTTACTTGATATCTTTTATAAAATTTACCAAATTCTTGCGACAAACGCGGCGAATGGCTTGGAGTCTGAGCACGGAAATCGCCGAAAACCCCTCGTGCGCTTATATCTCCTCCACAATAACAGCTCCACAGACACTCACGTATAAGCTTACGTATTCAGCTCCATTTGCATAATTCTTAGGCGGCATAATTAATACCTTTGGATCAATACCTTTTCTAAAAATGGGCATAATTTGAAAATTTTCAACCTCCCGAGAAGATTTTTGTTTCGCCATGTATTTTGAATGATCTCTTTTCTTGCAGACACAGATGCAAATATCCTTTCTTTCTGCGGTATTAAAATCTGAGCCTATTGGTACACTAGTCAGCATCACTAACCATAATACCGGCTGGGCGAGGCAAACTATACTGTAGTGTGAATTGTATTTTATTTGGTTCTCATTCAGTTGAATTTCACGTGTAGATGCTGGAATTAAAAATGCCTAATGCTGACCTGCCGCATCATTAGGCACATATTCAAATCCCAAAGAATGCATAGATGTGCGTAAGTGTATACTGTCTACGCGGTATGGGGGCATTTAAAATATTGACTAGCCGAAAATCTTATCAAGTGGATTGATGATTGAGAATGAGGAGAATGGGAGACCCTCGAATCTGTCTCCTCCCCCGGAGTGTTTTACATCAAAATTGAGGCGAAGCTTCATAATTAGTGCGGTGGAAATATACCTGTACGACTCAGGATAAAATTTTGGTATCCCGCTCAATTCTTACCTGTACCTAGAAGTCAGCTGCCCTGATCGGTATAGTGTTTAGCGACGCTGGTTGCAGTATCGTTGGGCCCCGGGCTCTAAATCCAGAGAATACTTGGTACAATGTAAGTGTACAATGTCTGCGCAGCATGGGGGTACTTAAAATACAGGCTTTGGATTAAAAATGGATTAATCCGTACCTGTTGTACCTGATGTTTGGTTATTTAAATTTTACTACAGTACTTCATGTACAAGTTCATAAATGGAAATTCCCAAACCTAAAGCAAAAAATCTGCTGTGCACATCATATTACTTGTATGGCTTACTTAACTACACACACTTTTTTGCTGTACTTCATTTAAACTTTTTTCCTCGAATTATTCTGAATTAATGAACCGATCCGTCAGGTCAAATTGAAAACGACATCCAAAACTGAAAACTTTTAGATTAACCCGGTCAATTTTCGTTGTACGGGTGTCAAACTTCTTATAATTTTATTTTCTCATAACGAGTATAAAACTTTCCCAAATGTAAGTATAGGAACCGGGAGACCGCTTTAAGAGTTAGATTTCGTTATTTGTCGAAAATAGGTTTTTTTTTTTTAACTTCCTTGTACGAAGTAAAAAGGAAGTATTGTAATCGCGAAAAGTTTCAGGCAGCATATTTCAACGAAAATATCCACTTTGACCGCTATCGAATGCAATTTAACGATGTTTTTGCGTGATATCTGTACGTAAGGACAGAATAAAATACTCTTTTCCTTCAAAAAAATTATACAACTGCTTTCAAATTAATTCTGAAGAGAATTTTTCGTGGCGTCTGTACGAACGTATGTACGTACGTGCGTACGCATGTCGCATATCTCAAAAACGAGTAGCCTCAGAACGTTGAAACTTTGTATATAGGACTGCTATAATATGTAGATGTGCACCTCGTATTTTGGTTGCAATCGGGCGCCACAAACGTATATAAATATATTTATATATATATATCCACTCTGTTACCCGGCTCAGTGATCTCAGTTTCTTTACTCTATATGTTTGTAAATTGTACATTTTTTCCTTTAAAAATGATTGTATTATGTTGTTTTTATCTTCCGGTTAAGGTTTTATGCCTTTAGTAAATCTGTATGCAATATTTTTAGAATTATCAACAATTTTAAAGTTGTCTAAGTGTCGCCAAGCCTTTTTTTATGGCGGCCATTGATGTTTACATTTGAAACAGGAGACTAGTGGATTTGTTGCCAATCTAAAGAAACTTAGCTTCGCAACAAAAAAGATAATGCATTCATTTATTATTGCCAATTAAATCATGCTTAATTCTTTCTGGAATTTTTCGAGGAAATAAGTGTTTAAGATTTACTTCGTAATTTTCAATATAGATATTTTGAGTTTTTATGTATTTTGGCCTTCTCGCGAAGTGAGAACTGAATTAATTAAATCAGAAATACTCAATCGTCTGTGAAAACGGTTTCTTTTTTGTTTTGTTTGCTTAATTTCTTTTATACATCATTCTAGCTTTATTATAGTATTTGAATAGAACATGTGGCAACGATTAGATAATTCTATTCTTTAAATGATATAAATTTTGTGCATTATGAGTTATAATATGAACGAAATATATAAGTTAACTGTTATATAATTATTGGATTATATAACAGTTAATTTAGTTTCCGTTATATAATTATTATATAAGTTAACTGTTATATAATTATTAATACTGTTAAGAGAATCTAGCGCCAGAGTGTCGCTATGGTAAACAAATACTAAAGTGAATTTTAAAGAATGCATTTATTCTATTGTGGTTTATGCGCTGTCGGCGAAGAAGATTTAATTCAATCCAATAAGTTTAAATGAAATGCAAGAAAAATTGCGTATTATTTAATATTCCGTACAAGGAAGTCATGTGGTGTACACATCAGATTTTTTTTAATTTGATATTGCCAAAACATGAATATTTCCGACATTTAAAACACTTCTGTAGTTAGAAGTATATGACTACGACCAATGATCACGAAAATAAAGGCCGGGTAAAATGGGGATGGGTATTTTTCGTATTGGCAATTGCTATAAGAAAGGTAGGTGTTGTATACATCTAGTTGTTACAACTAGATGTTATAGCAGTTCCATAAGCACAATTTAAATGTTCTATAGCTAATGTTTTTTGAGCAGTGGAATATAGGTACGTACGTACGTAACAGGCGTTACGTAGAAGTCCATTTTGAATCAGTTTAAATCCATTTTACTTGGGAAAAAAAGTACTTTAATCTGTCCGTACGCACAGACGTCACGCAAAAAAGTAGTCAAAATGGAATCGGGAATGGTCAAAATGAATATGTCTGATGAAATAAGATTCTTGAAATTTTCGGCCATTACAATACTTCCTTTACTTCGTATAAGGAGTAAAAAGGTAAACACTGATTATTATCTCTTTTATTAAACTGATAAATAGAAGAGATTTTAATTTTACCGTAGTCAGAGAAAGGCGGGGAGTAGACGACATAAGTGGAAAATGCTGAGGATAAAAATAAGAGTTAAATGATATTGTTCGAATGAGAGGTATTCTATAAAACATCAGGTAACTGTCTTTTTGGATCATCCTCTTTTATCTTTTCTTTGTCTAGCATCGGTCGACTCTGCTTGTGAAAAATTTGTTTTCGTTTTAAGATGTTTCATAATGGAGATTTAACAATGTCATAGAATATTCTTTGCTACTGCTTAATCAAGGTGAATCCATCACATGAAGCTTCGAACCTTATCCTATTTTGCTTAAATTTCGTGGATAAAGAATTGGCTTTAACTTGTTTTTGTACTTCTTCCTCTGAAGGCACTTAAATAACAATTACCTTTTGTTGTTCCTGAGGTGTTGAACAGTTTCTTATCGTCGTCTAATAACTCCTTCGCGTCTTTATTGTAACTTCCAAGCCTATGGTTTTACCTAGAGATACATCATAGACAATAACAACAACAACAACAATAATTTTGGAGTTCTTTAGTATAAAAGTCCTCAAAATTCCCGCTTGCAACACAGTCTGGCCATAATTTCCTCCAGGCATAAATCTTGTAAATCATTTGGTTCAGTGCTTTGTTAATGAGGAGTTAAGCAAAGAAAAATATTAAAATGATGTTTCTAGATGCCCCTGAGGATTATTTCTGTATCAGAAGTTACCTCAAAACACTTTTGGGAATCGTTTGTTGTCAATTTGAGTGTTCGTAACTCGGAACAACTTTTGTTTGAAAAGATCCAAAAATAATTTTTACGAATAAATTTAAGAAACAAAGAGTTAGGCTATTTGAGATTTTATCATGGAATTCTTTGTCTGAACGATCCATGTGTTATAACCAGATCAAGCAGACTTCAACCGTCGGAAGAACTCATATTACTTAGAAAATATTAATTTTCCTTGCTTATTTCATAAAGCTGTAAATGGGTTTTCGAATGTTATTGTTATAAATGTTATCGTTCGGAATTTTACTGAAATCTGACTTCTAAAGATGGTACAAAAATGAATAAAACAAATTATAGAAATGAAATAAAAAAAGTATCACTTTATTCAGAACACAATTATGTTGATTTCAACTAACAAAAGTATCTAAAGTATTATTTATTTTTAAAACTAGATAACAAGCAGAAATTCATTCTATACCTTGCTGTGAGCCTGAGCGTTGGCGTCATAGCTTTCCTGACTGTCCTCGGTGTTCGATTGTTTGTCATCCGAAGGCCGCGAAACAGCAGCAAACTAGATATTACGCCGGACACAGAGGATCAATTCTTCAGTGATAGTGATCTGGAACAGTTCGATCCTCCTGAAGACCTGCCTCCAGCACCACCAGTGACGACTACACTGCGGCGTCATGACAGTGATGCACAGCCAAGAGCACCAGTTACTACTGGTCCCGAACTCAATCATTACTTCAGCTGAGAGCCAGAACTCTATCATTACTTCAGCTGAAAACGTTTTCAGAAACGAAATGCCAAGAAGACAGAATTTAAAAATGGTGGATGCAGTTTAGTACAGTGATGAAACAAATTGATTACTGTTACCACAACATGAAAAGTGCTAGTGACAAGTGTTACAGTAATATGATAAGTGCAGTTCATAAAGTAATGCAGTAAAACAAACATTTCTGCAGAGCAAACCTGTTTGTTGGCTTCTAATAGCATCATGATAATTGAAAATCCTTATGTTGAGACTGCAGAGATTAAAAAGCAATTTTTAAAGCATTGTCATAAGTGCTTCTGAAATGATCATTTTGTAAGCATTTTATGTAGATAAATATCGCGTTTTTATACTTTTTTTGTAATTTATGTGATGTTTTATTAAATTTGTACAAATAATTTAATTAACAGAATGATCCAATTTGTTTATTTGCAACTTAAAAGAGTTTAATAATATAGAATTACAAATAAACAGATAGTTGTCTGATAATTGCTAATATAGAATTCCTTATACATGGGAATATTCAAAGTAAAGACTTTTTATAATTCTTCTCACATTTTGATTGGAAGATATTATTATTTACTAATTACGTAGATTAAAAAATATTGTAAAGTTGATTTCTGGTAGTTAATAATGATATTTAGACAACTGATTATACACTAACTCGGTCGAAGAGTGCTGATAAAAATTCAAAGTAACTCTGAAATAGTTTTCGTTAGCACTTCATAAAAATATGATTTATCACTTATACATATCAATCTTGCATGCACTTTGGACGTATCATAATGAAATTTTACATATCAATCTTACATGTACTCTGGACAAGAACGACTTTATCAAACTTGTTATGAACAATTCCATGTCCTGAAGAAATGCATTTGTACTGGAAACAGTTGTGCTGAAAAAAAAAGACAACTTACCTGAAAAGTAGAAGGGTTTCAGAAGGAAAAAATAAGTGGCTCTTTAAATTATTTATGTAAAATTAAATGAAAATTTTTCAGGAGCCACATCTACCAGCTATTCCCATAATCTCCATCAGCTATCATGTGGCTGTCAGCTGTCTACATAGTATCCTAGGAATACAATACGCAGTCCGTATAAGTATTCCAGGCACTAGAATCATTTAATAAGAAAGAGGTTATTGCCACTTTTTTTTTAAAAGATCTTTGGATCACTTTGGTTAAAGGCATAAGTTGCAGTCTCGTGACATATAACTGTTCATCTTCTCTCCTTTGTCTGTTTGATGACTATCTTACAAGGTAGAAATTTCATGTTAAAAATGGAAGAAACTTTCAGCTATTGAACAGAAAAACTTGTGTTTTCTAAAGTGTGTCACAGAACCGAAGACAGCTACATAATGCACGCAGAATCGATAATAGCTTGACAAAATTTACTTTACAAAAGAAATCCTTTACAGTTCTAGAACTATCCACAGAAAGACTCGTACAGCTCTTCTTAGTATCACAGAATATAACCAGTAGTTTGTACTAAGAACATTAAACACAGTACCAATGCAAAGCTCATCTAAAAAGCCAAAGCTCCTACGGAGATCTCTCAGTACTCATGCTGAACTAAACAATTGAGAGCTGATACTCTCTGCCCGATCTTATATAGTTTTTTTCTCGGCCGCCGAGAAATCTCTAGTACCTTCCATTTATCGAAATTACAGGAAGACATATACGGTTAAAGTTACATCTAAGGGCCGAATACGGTTACAGTTATATATAGGGATCAATTACAGTTATTCAGTTACAATACGCATTTTATTTACTCACTCGCCATATGGTTGCAAAGTTTGGCGATATCTCTCCAAATATCTCGACTTTTGGCGAATACTTGCCTTTCTTTTGTCGATTTCCTTTTCTCTTACTTCTTAAGTCGCCAATTTTGGCGACAAAAGTTAGACGCCAGAACCATCGTCAGCTTGGCGATATTTCGCCAGTTTAGCGAGACAGCCATTTACCTTAAATATAGACTTGCCCCTGTAATCGTTTTTTTCTGCAGACTTTTGACTCCTTCAAGCATTTCATGTTATATTAGACAAAAATACTACAATTTTACATATAATTTCCCTAAAATTATTTGCATATATGCAAAATTTGTAACATTGCCTCTCTCCCAAGAACTGCAACTCCCGAACAGTACAATACCAGGATAAGAAGCCATACTTATAACTAAGGAAAATCAATGCAATATTAAAAAATAATTTCAGTAAAACAAATTAAATTCTAAACCAGTAAATAAATGCGTAAATTTACAGATTTATATACAAAGAGGTGCATGATCTTATGATATTTACATTATTATATACACCAAGGGGATTACATATTATGGCCATAGTAAGGGACTACTCAATCGTAATGCACGACTTTAGGCTTTAAATTTGATGACTTAGGAATCCGAACCGCGGCGTCTTTCAGCCTATTTAAGACGGTATAAGGGCGTCCATGATGATTTTTGACGGAAAGGTGAGTCCTTTCAGTCGAATCGGATTCCATAATCATACCTTGTCACCTTCATTGAATCGATGATCTGTAGCTTTTGTGTAATATCGGGGTCTTCATCTTCTCCGTCGCCAATTTGACCCATTCTGATGAAAAATTGTGGATCATTTTAAACTGTGCTTGGAGATCCTCAGGCGATAAAGGAGCATCCGGGGGAGGGGGGCGACGAAACAAGAGAATACAAGGCAGCAAAGGTCACGACCGAAGAGTATCTGAGATGTGGAATAGCCGTTAGTTTCATGAACAGAACTGCGATAGGCCAGTAAGATCAGGATTAACTTCTGGTCGCAGCCCTGCTGGACCATCAGCGGAAAATCCGTCTGGAAACCTTCAATGGGAGGCTATTAAGAATGGTTCGATTACACTTCCCTACCGTTGGTCGATACCGAGTAGCTTGCAGAGTTCTTTAATTACGGCCAAGATAAAATTCCTTCCTTGATCAGAATGTAACTAAAGAGGCATTACGAATCTGGAAATTCAATACTGTATCATTATCTCTGTTATCGTGAGAGCCCGTTGATCAGCGATAGGATATGCTTCACCCCCTTTTGTGAAGTAATCAATGACAACAAAAATGTATTTGTGACAGCAGCAGTTCGTGGCACATGTCCTAGGATGTGAAAGCCGATGAGTTTAAAAGGCGTTCTTACATTGAAACGTTGCAGCTTTTCTTGGTTGCGTTTTTCGGTCCTTTTCGAACCGCATAAACATTGCGTGATTAGAACCACCACTTTTGCACATCAGCCCTTGCATTACTCCAGTAAAAGAGCTCCCAAACTTTATGCAGAACTTTCATTATTCCCAAATGGCCTGCTTTCGAGCTGATATGTAGTTCTTTAAGGACGTCCAGGATCTTAAAATTATCAGCTGCCTTCGGAATGCCTTTCCATTATCAGACTTGAATTTCCGGTACGAGACGCCGTTTCAATATTGAGGGAGTCTCCAGAGGGCCCAATATTGTTTTGTCGTAGCACTATAGATCGAAATGTCCTGCCAGGTAGGTTTCTTGTTTGAAGACTTGATTAAATAAATTATGGGTTTATTATCGCCATCTTCCAGCTGTTCTTTATTGACCTTTTCGTCACTCTATGGCTGAGGATTTTGAAGTTGTAACTTGACATGCGCCTAGAATAACCAGTTCGTATTTCCCTTGGACCCTGGAACAATATCGGCAGATTTCTAGAGAGAGTCTTGCAGAATAGGGGCTCGGCGTTTCCATTTCATAATCCTATCCGATGGCGTACAGTTATTTCATATTCCGGGAATTTCTGTATCCGTCTTTTAAATTTCAGGATTCCTGGAATTTAAAAGCCAGGCCAATGATCTGTGCGGAACAGGAATATTTTGCTTTAGAGATAATGATGGGAATAGTTTACGGCTTTAACTATGTCGAGCAACTTTTTCCTCGTGACACAGTAATTCCTCTCCAGTTTAGATAGACACTTGCTCCAGTATGCCACGACACGTTCTTGACCATTTATTTCTTCGGAAGAAACAGAATCGACCCTCTCATTTCTCGCATCCTTGTCTAGAACAAAGGATTTGTTGAGCTGAGGATAACGTTAGGATTGTAGCAGATGTTGAAATCTCCTTTAATTTGTTGAATGCATCCTCACATTCTTTGTCCACTAGAAATTTTGTTTGTTCTCTGTCAGTTTCTGAAGGGGTTTTTCTATGGACGACAAGTCCTTCACAAAGCTCCTATTATAAGTGTAATGTTCCAGAAAACTGCTCAGCTGGTCGATATTTTTCAGTCTTTAACTGCTGACACATTTTCTGGTTTTGTACACACAGAGAGGCAGAGATGTCATTTCTTACCTGGACTTATATTTGGCTGGATGTAATTTTAGACAGACTTCCTTCAGTTTCTGAAACACTTTCCTAATACTTCCTGATGCTCTTCAGATGTTTTCCCGGCGACGACAGTGTCTTCTCATCCAGGTATGTCAGGCTGGCTTTGATGCTTTGCCTGGTCTTATGTAGTTTTCCCTCGGCCGCCGAGAAATCTCTAGTACTTTCCAGTTCTCGATATTATGGGAAATAATGTGAGGGCTGGATATGGTTACTCTTGCGTATAAGGATCAATTACAGTTATCCAATTGCAATACCCATTACAGTTATAAAGGGACTGGACCTAAATGGTCACCAAGTTTGGCGACTTTTGGGCGATTTCTCGCCGAATATGGAGACAAAAGTTAGTCGCCAAAAACCATTGTCAGCTTGGCGATATCTCAACTAAATTAGCTAGATACCTTAATGTTAAATAGGCTTAAATCTGTAATCTTATATTTCCCGCAGAGCTTCGTCTCTTTCAAGCATTTCATTTTATATTATACAAAGAATACTACAACATCACATAGATTTCCACTAAAGTTATTTACATATATACAAAATTCGTTAAAATTCTGAACCTGAGCTAAAACTTCATTCATATTACTCCAAATCTCAATGACTTTAATTATATTGGTATCTCTCTTTATTGAGCTGTAGTTCACAAATTACATGCTATTCTTAAAGGTGAAAATTGTGTATGAGCAAATATACATATTCAGATAGCTCCTGTATGCTCTGTCTGTGGAATAATTCGATCAAAGCCAATGTACATTATTTGAAAGCGAGACCGCAAGATGTTTACGGATGCCAAGACTTTTTGATTACACCCATTTTAATCCAGTATAGTCAGGTTCATCTTTCAGAAGAAAATTTTAGAATAAGATAATTGCTTATATTCGTAATGCGCCTTTACACATGGAAAATCCATTATTCGAAATGATCTGATTAGTTTTACTGATATGCTATGACTGCAAATAATACATAACATCTTCATCAAGATGCCTACTTCTGATTCCGCCGTTCACGACTACATGAGAACAGTCCACCCTGTCACGTCTTGACAACTGACG